AAACCGCGCCATTGCACCCCCACCGGGGAAAAAAAGAGAAAAACCCCGTCAAAAAAAAAAAAAAAAAGAAAAAAATGCTGTGGAATTAGGTGTGGGCAAAACAACCATGAATGTTTGGGAGAGAGAGAGAGAGAGAAGTGTCAAAATATAGGACTTTGCCCTCATTTTGCTTCACAAGTGTCTTGAGTCCGCATTCTACTGAAGCTGAAATTGATAATGCTTCTTGCTGTGCTAATCAATGTCCTCTGTGCAGCCCCCATCAGCAGGTTCACACTCAAAGAAAAGGTCTTGGCCGGGCGCGGTGGCTCAAGCCTGTAATCCCAGCACTTTGGGAGGCCGGGGCGGGTGGATCACGAGGTCAAGAGATCGAGACCATCCTGGTCAGCACGGTGAAACCCCGTCTCTACTAAAAATACAAAAAAATTAGCTGGGCATGGTGGCGTGTGCCTGTAATCCCAGCTACTCAGGAGGCTGAGGCAGGAGAATTGCCTGAACCCAGGAGGCGGAGGTTGCGGTGAGCCGAGATTGCGCCATTGCACTCCAGCCTGGGTAAAAAGAGCGAAACTCCCCCACAAAAAAAAAAAAAAAAAAAAAAGAAAAGGTCTTAGCCTGACATCAAAGGAATGGCGGGCAGATAAACCTGTTTATGTTTTAAATTAAAAATAAAATTTTGAAGATATAATTTTATGCAGCCCCACATAGCTGACTTTTTTCTTTAACCAACCAATTGCAGATTCTGACTGCCAGGTGCAGTGGCTCATGCCTGTAATCCCAGCATTTTGGGAGGCCGAGGTGGGTGGATTGTTTGAGCCCAGGAGTTTGAGACCAGCCTGGCTAACATAGTGAGACCTCATCTCTGTAAAAAAAAAAAAAAAAAGAAAGAAAGAAGAATCATGATTTCTACAGTACAGTTCCAGGAGCTGCCAAACAGTGGTATAAGGAAGTGAATTGCCTGGGCCTCAACATATCCTGAGTGTCAGTGACACATGTATACTTTCAAATGAATATCCTCATTTTTGTGAAGATTACTCTTGAGAGTCCTTTATCTGTAGGCTAGCTGTGCTTGATTGTAACAGAACAGATTTTTAGAACTTAATCATCATTATTGTATCTGTATTAGTCTGTTTTCACACTGCTGATAAAGACATACCCAAGACTGGGCAATTTACAAAAGAAAGAGATTTATTGAACTTACATGTTGCATATGGCTGGAAGGCCTCACAATCATGGCAGTAGGTGAAAGGCACATCTCACGTGGCAGCAGACAAGAGAAGAAGGCTTGTGCAGGGAAATTCCTTTTTTTTTTTCAGATGGAGTTTTGCTTTTGTTGCCCAGGCTGAAGTGCAGTGGCGTGATCTGGGCTCACTGCAACCTCCGCTTCCCAGGTTCAAGTGATTCTCCTGCCTCAGCCTCCCGAGTAGCTGGGACTACAGGCGAATGCCACCAGGCCCACCTAATTTTTTTTTTTTTTTTTTTTATGTTTTTTCCTAGTAGAGATGGGTTTTCACCATGTTGGCCAGGATGGTCTCAATCTCCTGACCTCATGATCCGCCCGCCTCGGCCTCTTAAAGTGTTGGGATTAGAGGTGTGAGCCACTGCGCCCAGCCGAAACTCCTGTTTTTAAAACCATCAGATTTCATGAGACTGACTCACTATCACAAGAGCAGCACAGGAAAGACTCACCCCCATGATTCAATCACCTCCCTCCAGGTTCCTCCCACAACATGTAGGAATTGTGGGAGTTGCAATTCAAGATGAGATTTGGGTGGGGACACATAAATTGTGCTGTTAAAGAACAATTTCAAGTCTTTCAACTTGTCCTGCAACTGTGCCTAAAATGTGTTCCCTTTTTACTTAAAGCTACCTGGCACAGCTGTAGATATGTAATATATTTTGCTTAAATGCTTAGCACGAAAGGGAAGACTTCCACTTTAGGTTCTCTATAACCAGCAAACTTTTGCCATCACGTTCTTTTTCTTTTTCTTTCTTTTTTTTTTTTTTTTTGAGATGGAGTTTTGCTCTTGCTGACCAGCTGGCATGCAATGGCACAATCTTGGCGCACCACAACCTCCACCTCCCGGGTTCGAGCAGTTCTCCTGCCTCATCCTCCTAAATTGCTGGGATTACAGGCATGCGCCATCATGCCCGGCTAATTTTGTACTTTTAGTAGAGACGGGGTTTCTCCATGTTGGTCTGGCTGGTCTCAAACTCCCAACCTCAACCTCCCGCCTCGGCCTCCCAAAGTGCTGGGATTTCAGGCGTGAGCCACTGCACTTGGCCCATCATGTTCAATAGACTTTGTAATCAGAAAAAAAATGACCATACTGAATCCCAGATGGCATTTTTGTTGTTGTTGGTTTGAGAAAGGGTCTCACTCTGTGGCTCAGGTAGAAGTACAGTGTCACGATCATGGCTCACTGGAGCCTTGACCTCCCAGGCTCACATGATCCTTCCACCTCAGCCTCTCAATTAGCTGGGACTATAGGCATGCACAGCCATGTCCAGCACATTAAAAAATTTTTTTTGTAGAAATGAAGTCTCCCTATGTTGCCCAGACTGGTCTTGAACTCCTGGGCTCAAGCGATACTCCTGCCTTGGCCGCCCAAAGTGCTGGGATTACAGGTGTGAGCCACTGCACCCCACCCCAGAAGGCATTCTTTATAGTCTAACTTTATCATAATGCAATTAGACAAATTAAAAAACTCTTTACTAAGCTATAAGTAAATTATTAAATTTTGCTTGTGCCACGTAAAGAAAATCAAGTACATTTTGAGTTTTGAACATTGAAAATGAAGGGCGAAATCTCTCTTGTTGTAAATGATGTTTTGTTAAGGCTGCCTTCCTCTTTTTGCAAGATATGAAGCCCCTTCTGTATATTTCAAGCTCTGCACAAAAGAGGAGTCATATGAGATCGAGGACAAGCATGTCTTCCATGTCTTGGTCCATTTAAGCTGCTATAACAAAATGCCATAGACTAAGTGGCTTAAACAACAGAAATTTATTTCTCACAGTTCTGGATGCTGGGAAGTCCAAGATCAAGGCACTGGCAGTTTTGATATCTGGTGAAGGCCATCTTTTTACTGTGTCCTCACATGGCAAAAGGGACAAACAGTCTTCCTTGGGCCTCTTTTATAAGGATGCTAATCCCTTTCATGAGGGCTCCATCCTTATGACCTAATCATCTCCCAAAGGCCCCACACCTTCCTACCTTCCTTCCTTCCTTTTCTTTCTTTCTGTTTCTTTTCTTTCTTCTTTCTTTCTTTCTTCTTTTTTTTTTTTTTTTTTTTTTTTTTTTTGAGACGGAGTTTCGCTCTTATTACCCAGGCTGGAGTGCAATGGCGCGATCTCGGCTCACCGCAACCTCCGTCTCCTGGGTTCAGGCAATTCTCCTGCCTCAGCCTCCTGAGTAGATGGGATTACAGGCATGCACCACCATGCCCAGGTAATTTTTTGTATTTTTAGTAGAGACGGGGTTTCACCATGTTGACCAGGATGGTCTCGATCTCTTGACCTCGTGATCCACCCACCTCGGCCTCCCAAAGTGCTGGGATTACAGGCTTGAGCCACCGCGCCTTGCTCTCTTTCTTTCTTTCTTTTCTTTCTTTTTTTCTCTTCCTTCCTTCCTTTCTTTCTTTTTCCTTTCTTTCCTTTCTTTCTTTTGAAACAGAGTTTCCCTCTTGTTGCCTTGCCCAGGCTGGAGTGCAATGGTGAGATCTTGGCTCACTGCAACCTCCACTGCGTGGGTTCAAGTGATTCTTATGCCTCAGCCTCCTAGTGGCTGAGATTACAGGCGAGTGCCACCATGCCTGGCTAATTTGTTGTATTTTTAGTAGAGATGGGGTTTCACCATGTTGGCCATGCTGGTCTTGAACACCTGACCTCAGGTGATCCACCTGCCTCAGCCTCCCAAAGTGCTGAGATTACAGGCGTGAGCCACTGTGCCTGGCCTAGGCCTTACCTTCTAATGCCACCACCATGAGGATGGGATTTCAAATACAAATTTGTGGAAAGAGACACATTCAGACCATAGCACCTCACTTTCTTCTTCCTAACGTATCTTCAGTTTTGTTCAACTATCCCCCCATCCATGGGTTGACTTTAATCAGTCCATTGCAATGAATATTTGGCCTTTCCCTGGTCCACAGGTGCATATATAACTTAAATTTATCTAATACAAGTTAAGGGAAGAACTTATATCTCATAGTTGGAGGAGGTTTTCCTTCTTCCACTGAATGTGAACAGGGGAACACGTGGCCTATTTGCAGCTGGCAGCCACCTTACCACCATGAGGGGAAGCAGCAGAATGCAAAGATATAAAAAATGTATATGCTTCAAGACATGGCTGAGCCCAACCTTTCAACCTAGTTCTTGTATATAATATAATACATTTTCTCAGTATTTAAGCAAGAGTAAACTGAGTTGTTCATGACTTGCAGAAATTTTGTGTCCTGTTACAAAATATCAAAAATTTGCCTCAGTTTTTAGTGCCCTGTTCTGCTGATGCAGTAAGCATCTGCCTGGTCTCAATATTGCTGGCTGCTGTAGGGATGGTTGACTGAAAAGGACAAGAGCATGTTATACATGTACAGTCATGCACTGCATAACAACGTTCCAGTCAATGACACCACAGATATGATGGTGCTCTCATAAGAGTATAATAGAGCTGAAAAATGCTTATCACCAGTGGCATAGCCATTGGAACGTCATAATGCAACACATTACTCATATGTTGTGGCAGTGCTGGTGTAAACAAACCCACCGTGCTACATGTAAATAGGTTTACATTATCTGTAGAAGAGTGATTGCATAAGTGAGACACGACATTGATTTGTTGTCACTTGGATATATTATTATTTTTTTTTATTTTTGAGACAGAGTCTTGCTCTGTTGCCCCAGCTAGAGTACAGTGATCTCAGCTCACTGCAACCTCTGCCTCCTGGGCTTAAAAGTGATTCTTATGCCTCAGCCTTTTGAGTAGCCGGGATTATAGGCACCTGCCACCATGCCCACCATGCCCAGCTAGTTTTTTGGATTTTTTGAAGATAGAGTCTTGTTCTGTCACCCAGGCCAGAGTGCAGTGGTGTGATAGCTCACTGCAACCTCTGCCTCTTGGGTTCAAGCAATTCTCTTGTCTCAGCCTCCCAAGTAGCTAAGATTACAGGTGCGTGCCACCACGTAAGACTAATTTTTGTATTATTATTATTATTATTTAATAGAGACAGGTTTTCTCCACGTTGGTCAGGCTGGTCTCAAACTCCCAACCTCAGGTGATCCGCCCACCTCAGCCTCCCAAAGTGCTGGGATTACAGGCGTGAGCCACCGACCCAGCCAATTTTTGTATTTTTATTAAAAGTAGAGATGAGGTTTTACCATGCTGCCCAGGCTGGTCTCAAAGTCCTGGCCTCAAGTGATCCACCCACCCACCTCCCAAAGTGCTGGGATTATAGGTGTGAGCCATTGTGCCAGGCCCAAATCCATTCTGATTTTTGTTTGTTTTTTGAGACTGAGTCTTGCTCTGTCACCCAGGATCAAGTGCAGTGGTGCAACCTCAGGTCACGGCAACCCCCACATACCAGGTTCAAGCAATTCTCCTGCCTCAGCCTCCTGAGTAGCTGGGATTACAGGCACCCACCACCATTCCTGGCTAATTTTTGTATT